TTGGTGGATGGTCATGTTAGAGATGATTATATTTTGTTGAGTTGTTTTGATACAACATTTGTATTTAGAGATGTTTGACCAACGCTAGGGTTTTATGTAATCAGTATGGTTTACTATATGTTTATATATATATATATATATATATATATATATATATATATATATATAGATAGATAGATAGATAGATAGACAGATAGATCTAGTAATATAATACTGCCTTTACCTTCATTCCTGGCTTTAGTTTTTTCTACTAACTGCAAGAGACACAGCCCATAAACTCCTCACAATTGTATTCAAAGCCAGGTTTTGTCTTGGCATAATCTTCCATTCAGTGTCTGAATTAATGTTTCACGGTAAATGAACCGGTAAAAGTACTTATTTATGGTTTATTGGTTTCATTGCCATTAAATTGTGATTGAATCGCCCATAATTAATTTTTTTTTTTGACATTATATAATATTTTAGTTAATAAAAAGTTATAAGAAATCAAGATGTAAAGAGTTGTAAGTTAATATAAATGACTAAATTGTTTTATAAAATAAAAATTAATAAAAATAGGCAAAATAATTTATTTATCTTAAAAATATTTTACATCAAACTTTAAGAAATAAAGATTGTGAAAAAATGGAAAGTTTTGAAAAAAATACTGGTTTGAATTGATTTTTTGAGTTGGTTTTTACCAATTTTGAACATGTTCGAATGATTCTTTACTGATTTATTATTGATTATGATTAAGGAAGTTCGTTAATTTATTTAATAATATTAAATTTGTCATTAATTTATAATTTTCTTTCAAAACTACCATAATCAAAAGTATTTAGTGTGAAAAACGAATAGTTAAAGCAAGAGATATTTGATATTGATTCTTATATAATAAAAAAAAATACTTGATTTGAATCTTATAAAAAAGACATGAAATAATTTGTTTATTATTATTTTTTTTTCTGTTTGCACTAAGTTTACATCTAGAGATAAACACATCCAACCTTACAGATTTAATTCCAGCAGGTTCTTTATGCTTCCTTTTATTCTCTTCTTGAATATATGAATGCAGGTGTTGTAAAGCATAATGAATGAATGAATGGAATTTCTCGGCATAAGTTCTTATATATCTAGGAGCTTTTCCCTTTCCTCCTCTCCCCTTTTTGTTTCATTATAAAATGTGTAGTTGTAGTTGTAGCTGCTGATCCTTAAACCCTATAACTTGTAGGAATTCCTACTACGAAGTCCCAAAAGTCAAACATTCTTTGCGTGCAATGTTCTAGCTTTGTTTTTTGTCAGCAAACCCTTTTTAAGAATTCCTGCTTTAGGCTATGTTTTTGGGTAATTTCCTCATCTGTCTTATTCTTTAGTACATTAGCAGAAAACAACTTTAATGCAAGGCTGCAAAATAGACTACTGCTTTTGGTTTGAAGCTTCTTATAGTCATACACTATTTTTAGAAAGATGCCCAGGACCTCAGGCTATGTCCTAGTTTCTGCTGAATATTTGCACTGTTGCATTCATGGTTGCCCTTATCCCCCCTTCCCCAACCGGTACCTACAGAGGTAAACTGGTATCTTCGTGTTGTTTTCCCCCACTTTGAATCATCACATGTTTTGCAATCTGAATATGTCATTTGCCATCCTCTCGTTTGTCTTATTTTGATAGTAGTTAGACTTAGACAACATGTTGGGCACACAACGACGAGAAGTTTTGTTATTTTGATAGCAGAATAACACAAATGTGAAAATAGGATTAATCTAACTAGAGAAAATTAGGATTCCTATAATACAGTCAAAAGCTGTGGGATTATAACAATATGAAACTCCCTCATCTAACTAGAGACACTGAAAATTGAAACCAAAATTATGTAAAAATTCTAATGTTTTATGACCGAATTAATATATTATTAGATTTAAAGTAAATATAAAAGTAAGGTTTTTTAAAAGTTAATAAAAATATTTTTTTGATAAAAATAATATTTTAGGGATGAGTTTTGAAAAAAAATATTATATTTTTATATCTTTCCGAAATAGATTTTTCAAAGTGAATTTTTAAAAATACAATTTTTTTTAAGTTATGCAATCTTAAAAAAGTTATATAAACATTATTATAAAATAATTTTTTTTAAATGAGCCCAAAGCAAAAATTTTGTTGACCTACCCGTAGACCTATTCTGCATTCACAAAATAAAGTGCATGGGTCCTTTGAGGTTTAGTGGCCCCAAAAAACTCTTGCTGAAGATCCATGTGCTCTATGTACGATGGCATTGTATTGTTGTCCAGCTTCTTTTTTGTGAAGTAATTGATATGAAGTTTGATCCCCCAATAATTTTCAATGTACATAAATATTTCCACTCTTATCCTTTTCACTATCCATTTGTAAGATCTCTTCAACAATTAAAGAGAAAAGAAAAGTAATGTGTGCCAATTGTTTTCACTTGTCATTGCATTCTTATGTACGGTTCCTTAAAAAAGAATGACTAAATTCCAATTTAATAAGAAAAGTGTTCAATTTTACATACCCACTTTTTTCACATCTTCTTTTAACCCAATTTTTTAATATCTTTTTTCTTTTTCATTATATATCACTCATTAAATAGTCTGAGACTCTATATAGAGTGCCTAACAATTACTGATATTATGTTACATAAAATCTTGCTCAAGAGATTTAAATAACTCCATACATTTCATGTATTATTACTTTGTTAAATCAATAAATCTTGAAGCAACATTTTTACTCGCTTTGAGAACATTGATTTTTGGTATGGTTAAATGTTCCATAGGAGTAGGACCCTATTCTGTCACGCCTTTTTCATATTTATGAAGGTACCATGAATTCTTCTTTGCTTTGGTTGTTTCCAATGATTCGCCGTATGCAGCCAACTTCTATGTCTGCTGTGGGACCCACCTCTCTTCCCACTTTCACGTCTTTTATGACTTTACTCAGCATTTCACGCTCTCTAACTCCTTATTTCATGCAATTTTTTCTTATTGTATTTGTATGAACCATTTTAGTTTCTTTTCTTATAAATCACACTTTCTGTTGCATGAAATTTCCACATAAAATCTACGTATAATACAATTTCCCTGCACGCATAGATCACTTTCACTATCATATCTATGCTTTTTAAATTCTTCAGCAATATATCTGTTGCGCACAAACACTAAGTGTGATGATCCTATTCTCTTTATTTCCTTACTATTTCAGCTCCATATATTTGTCGCGAGCGGTGTTCATAATAGTATTCAACTAATTGCATTTTTCTTAGATGTTACTGGTCCCCTCCAACCTATATTTTTTTTATAAAAAAAATGGATACTCGAATGCAAAAGAAAGGTGAGTGGGGATCGAATCAATGCAGCGACTGGCAGTTATCTCTTTGTTTTAGGACCCCTTTTTTGAGAAATTAATATGTGGCTCAAAATTACCAAGCATTATTTATAATTTCAATCGATCATTATATAACATATATTTAAATTTTTTATCTATAATTTTTTTTAATGACATTTAGTTATATATTATATAAAGATTAATTAGAGATCATAATAAGTTTTTTCTTTTTTCTCTGAAAAACAAAACTAAATTCAATGCTTTGTCTCTAATGTACTCCTACATATGAACAATAGAATTCCATCCATATCTTATACCACTAAGAAAATGCTTCTTCTCACAAAAGTATTCAATTAATAACGATATATTATGATTTGGTTACACCTCTGATATGAAAATAAAAAAGCCAAATGCTCGGGGAAATTGTCGATATATATATATGTGTGCATGTAGCGAAGTCTTTGGTGTGATTATTAATGGAAGTGCAGAAGCTTAATAATAAGCGCTGAAAAGTGAAGAGAAAGATGCTGCGAAAATAGTATTTAAGCAGCTGAGGGAGAAGCTGATCTGATAAAAAAAAACAACATATATGCTCTCATTTTGCTTCCCACTTCAGAATATATGATAGTTACGTGTGCGTTGTGTTGCCTAAATAATATGATATGATTCATGAGTTCTTTTGCCGTTTTGATTTTGATTTTGATTTTATATGCAAATCTTTTATAGGAAACTTATAATTTCTGTAATATATTACTGTTTGACAGTTAGATGAAATAGGTCACGCAGTGAATGGCAATTAATCGTTTATTGATGAGTAGTACACTAGTACTAGTACTCGATGTTGATGATATTCAATATATTTGCACAACCATTACCCATTGTGTATAAATGAATCGCAGGTAGAATTATTGATCCAAAATAATATGCTGTTATTGTTTTCAGACATATATATATCTCTTGTACCCATCATGGTGCATGCTGATATTAACTTATATTTAAACCACTTCACATGCATCTTAAGTTTTGTAGCAACTCTTGCATGTATATATATGGCCATAAAGGAAACAGTGCGTCCACAGATATCAAATTTGGTACCCCACTTTTACCAGAAAGTTTTATGAGCCATAGCATAGCATATTTAAAAAGCAAGGCTGTATTTTATCATCTCAAACGCTTGTCTTTTTCTTTTATAGCTCTCCTTTTCAGTAACACATGTATGAACCCATTGTTATTAATTGAGTGAATCAGTAAAAACATGAAGTTGTTTTGCTCAATTTCATGCATGGATGTCATTTCAGTATCTCAATCATTATTGTTACATGTCGAAACAGATACATATACATAGTAATTAATCTCAATATAT